TCGATATGTATACGTCTTGAGAATCGATATGAAGTCTTTGTATGTCACCGTGTCCTTATCTAATGAATCAAAGATCCATGCCATGCTCCTCCCGACATCGACGGCTATACAAATCCAGTGGTTGCTGCATGGATTTAATCATAGAACTAGATAAGCCCTTTCGCATCGAATGAAATATATCGAACAAAGATTTAAGTATAGAGTTGAGCTTACTCGAAGTTGTATGGTAGCCATATAGTAGAGTGGTGTTGGAGATTTTTGAAAGCCAAGGCAATGTATGCCGCAACCTTAAGGGACTCTTCCCTTAGCTTCGCACTACGGATGCGCTCTTTCTCCTGAAGAGTCTTTGCAGCTGCTAGCTCTTTGGCATCAGGTGTCCACCGTTTAGGGTAATTAAAATTTGTTTGGGCTATAGCTTGAGGGTCTACATACCCGGCTTTCACACTTGGCATTTATTTGACAATGTGCACTTGCATTCTACAAATCACAGCGTGGGTTAGTTACAACATAATTCAAAGATTACATTCATATCATATCGGGAGGACAAGGACTTACAGGCACCACGTGCGAATTAGATTCATCTCCATTTCTCCTAGGTGAAAGCATGTGTGCATGTCATTGAAGTCAAAGACAATTTTCTCGGCTGGGCTTCCAAATGTGCCGGTGGAAAAGCATGCTTGTATGATATCTATGCTCGTTGGGAGAACACGCAAGTACCAATCATGGAATCTTCTCATTCCAAGTGGTAGGCGCTGGATGTCCCGGTTTGGTAGGAAGGGCTTGCCTCTTTCATATTTTTTCGGGCAATCCTTTGACCATTCGATGGCATCAACATTTGGATACGGCTTTGCAATTTGGTGGAGTTTGCTACTGACGGCCTCCTCAGAACCCCGTGATGGGACTTTTTTAACTTGGTTTTCAGGCTTGAACTGATCATGGGAAGAACACTTGGACACCGATGAGACGTCTTTGATCGGAACATAAACTGGCCTTATGTTGATTGGAATCTTCTTTCGGAGTTCCCATTCAGGCACGTCCTCATCTTCTTGTGCATCAACTTCTTCAGGAGGCACTCGTTGTTCATGTATCGGTTGTGCTTGTTGAGAAGACTGTGGCATCTCATGATGCACTTGCCCGGTACGAGCTGGAGAAGGTTGTGGCATCTCATCACGCACATGCTCGATAGGAGGCGGGGAAGAATGTGGCATCTCAGAAATGTGGGGGTCACGAGACGGTGAAAATATCTCCCCGGCCTCAACAACTCGCTCCAAATTTGGGAGAGGGAGAGGAGACGAAGAAGCAGTCAATATAATGTCCCATTTGTGCCAGAGGATGAACTGCCCCATAACGTCTCCGAGTAACACTAGCCCCTTGGGAGTTGCGTAGTCTATCCTCCACTGCATGAACTCGGGCTTCACTGTATGCACCTCGACCCTAGTGTATTCCGACGGTATCTTATTATTGTGGTGTAAGCCACTGAGAGGATGTGCCACACCCGTTGTCACCTCCATCACAGTGTTCTGCCGGCCGCTGAGAAACACCAAGGTGCAACTAGTAGGTTCCCGTATGAGATCGACTGGGGTTGTGGCTGCAGTGGAACCTTTGCTGCTAGGAACTTTCGGAGGGCTGCTAACTAATGCCAGTTCTCCCAGCGGCGTCACTAATATACGTGGCTCCATAGACATTCCTTGCTCCTCCAGCGCCTTCGCAACTAGAGCCTTCACTTGGAGCTCAATACTAGTCTCTCGGACTCGGCCATGTTTCTTGTACATGTGTCTGTCCTCTTCGAATCCTTGCTTCCAGGTCATCCTTTTCCCTAGCCCCCTGGTGCGGCCTGTGTGCTCCTTATTTCCCAAGCCAAGGCTAAGCTCGTCCCTCTCTTTGGAAGGATTGAATGAGCCCGTCTCTTTGTCTTCAGCATATTTCAGTATCCTTGATACCGCCTCTTGGGTCTTCAGCTTATCAAACTTAAGATTACTGCCGGATGGTTCTGTACTCCTCGCATATATCCAGTTCCTTGAGCGTACCTTCAAGTTCGTCACATCGATATTCCCAGCAGCTGCGGCCTCTTCATCCATCTTCCTAAATTGGTCTTCCTTGGCATAGTAGCCACCGGGGCCTAGATGGTGGTGGTGTTTGTTCCTCTTCGCCCGCTCGGTGTTACGGGCACTGAGCTCCAATGCCTCCACTGAAGTCTTCTGAGCCACGAGCTCCTCCCATTGACTAGGAGTTATTTTGCCGAACTCGTTGAAGGGAGTTAACCCCTTTTGGATATACTTCGTGTTGAGCTCTGACCTCCAACGTCGAAATGACTCTCACATCATCCTGATAGCATTTTTTTACCAATTCGTGCTTACCCTCCAAAAATCTAAAATTGACCTTCAGATGCCTATCCCATAGTGCATTCTTTATGTTCTCTGGTACCTCTTTCCAGTTAGGGATTGCTGGGTTCAATTTATCTCTTACTAGGGCCCCGATCGCATTACGGAATCGTCCTCTTAATTCCTTTGGCTCAAGGATCTCCCCTCCTGGCCCAACCTCCGTTATCACATAGCAAGTCTTATCTGGATATAGATTTCCTTTTCTATCCCCTCATTTTCTCTTAGGCTTGGTAGTCGTGGTTGTGTCTTGAGTTTGTGGAGCAGAGCCATCGTGATCCGTCTCTGTAGTTGTTGCCTCTGCTCTCCTTTCCTCTACTCCGTCTTGTCCAGCGAGATGTCGCAGACATCAACGTCGTCTTTTCTGAGTTTCAAGAGGGACCTGTATATAGGACAGGTCAAAGTGTTAGCAGAGGTAACATAGCCAAAGCTTTAGCAAAATTTACATGCTAAGGCTTCTTCCCTACCTCCTCGTTCGAGTCAAAATCCTTGTCCAAATCTTCCTCCATTGGCCTCCTTCTTGCTTCAGGTGGGAAAGGATCCTCGGGACTTTCATATCCCTCTTCTAACTCATCATCCTCTTCTTCTTCGCCTTCAGCAGCCTCTCCTTCGGGGCCTTCCTCCTCATCACACTTCTCCTGAGTAAGCATCACTTCTAGATCCTTTTCTACCTCGTTATCGAACTGTTACTGAGTAAGCTGGTCCTCTAGTGCTTGCTCCTCAAGGGTTGGCTGCTCATCATGCTCGGGGCATCGAGCTACACTGTCTATTGTCTGCGACATTATTTCGCGCTTTGTTCTAAAAGATGTAAAAAAGTGTGCTTTAGGTACGCGAGAATGTATAAGAAATCAAAAAGATCTATAAACTAAAGTAGTCCTATAAAACAACAATATAAAAAACAAGAAGTAGCAGTGGTAGAGCCCTCAGAAACATGTCAATCATCATCTGATCTTGAACTTGGAGCATCAAGGCATCATAGCAGAGAAGAGAGGAGAAGGTAATGTAGGGGCGGCTGCTAATGATGCCAAGTTCCTCACAAATTCTTGATCATCAGCTCATATTCCATATAATGTATGGACTTGGACAATTTCATCATCGGCAAAACAAAGGAGAGGAGAGGAGAGGGGAGATTTGGCAAAAAAAGCAACAGCTGCTTAACAAACATAGAGAGGAAAAGGTATAAAAAAAGCAGCTGCTGCTTCCCAAACATAGAGGATAGGAAAGGCGGCAAAAATAGAGGAGACAGGAGATTTGGCAAAAAAAAAGCAGATGTTGCTTCCCAAAAAAGCAACAGCTGTCATACTGACTTTGCTCGATCACACATGAACATCATATGTTTAATATCTTCTGAACCTAATAGGCAGATTGGACAATCAGAAGTAGTAGACAGTAGTAGTAGGGAAGTAGTAGAATTAGTTGATAGAAGTACAAATAGTTGATAGAAGACAGAAGTAGAAGTAGTAAACAGTAGTATTACGGAAGTAGTAGAGTAGTAGTAGAAGTAGCAAAAGCTGCTTAGGAGAGGAGAGGAGTAGAGTGGAGTAGAGGAGAGTATAGTAGTAGAGTAGTAGTAGGAGTAGCAAGTAGTAGTAATAGGAGTTGTAGGAGACCAACCAGCAGCCAGCAGCCACTGGTACATGGGCAAATCAATGATTTCGCTCATGCTAACCACATTTCTAATACTCAAAATCACCAAACAGGAAACCAAGACATCATGATAAAACAAAAAAAATGTAATACATAAATTATATGAAATAGAGATAACTGGATGCAAGTGCAGACAAATAGATTGAATCGAGAAAAAACTAGCAGTGGTAGAGACATCATCAGATATCCGCATGTTGGAACTACTCTCAAGAATGATGAGAGAAGTCTCTCAAGTCTCAACAGACAACAAAGTAGGTGAGCATCGAAAAGCAGTATATGCAAAGATGGCCTCATTCCTTTTTCTCGAAGTCACAAAAGGAGGGACAAGTTTGACACAATCTGTGCCCCGCCCAAACTAGCCCCCCAATGCAAGCACATTACAACCAACACAATTAATTTCTTATAGTGGCCGATCTCAGCCCGACATCGCCTAACCGTGGTAGATCACAAAGATCAAGTAGTTCACATTCGTAAAATAGCATGAAATTGAAACTGAAATGAGCACTAAAACTGAATCTGAAATGAGCACTAAAACCGAATGAAATGAGCAATTGAAAATTAACTAAAATGGGCAATTGAAACTTAACTGAAATGAGCACAACGACACTTTATTTGAAATGACCACTATCCAGCTTTTTAGAAATTTAATAGTATCTTGACACAACACTACAGACACTTAGCATAGTTACTTTCGGTACCAATGCATGAATAGACTTACTAGTAGCCCCTGTAATGCGTTCGAGAAAACAACACTAGGTAATGCATGAATAGACTAGTACCAATGCAGTTTCACTTCACACTAGATAATGCATGAATAGACTATTACCAACATGTCTGTGGGCTGCTGTTGCCATACAGGAAGCCGATAGGTAAGTACAATCGGTAAGCCGATAGGCAAGTACTATCGGTAAGCCGATAAGCCAAGTAATTATGCAAATTACCAATAATTATGCAAATAGGTTAGCAAGGCTTTGATCAATACATCTGTAAAAACTTGTGATAGCAGTGTGGAACTGACATTGGCATTGCTGGTTGTGGTGAGGACACAAGAAGAGATGAATTTGATAGGCTATGGTACTGGTTATACCCAGTGGCTGTTTCATTGTCAAGAGAGAAAATTAAAAAGTTGTGGGATTGCACAACACCTAGATGGATAGAGAGCTTGATTACAATAGAAGAAGCTGAGAATGCACTAAGAAGTTCTAGGGAATTGTTAAAGGAGCCAGGAACATTTGTTCTCGATTTCCTACCACTGTCGGCAGCGGCCCAGATCTTTGGAAGCCTAGTTGTCACTTACTTTGGCTCGATAACTCAATTCATCATAGGCTACTCTCTCTTGATTCTAGGTGTGCTACGATTGGCATGTTACCCTATCATCTAAATCTATTGGCAGTGAAATTTCTGAACCTTGCTCTTTTCATCGCTAATAATAGTGATGCTAGCGCCGAGAACTCGCAAGATTTGCTACTCCAGAACCCCGAACTATCCCAATTAGGGGTGTAAAGCATTCTAGGCTCGAATCAGTGCATTGTTCCTTTCATTACTTGCTAAGTGGTTAGACATACATTCAAATGCAGGGTTGATCGGCTCCTAGCCGCCATCCGTGATTAGCTAGCATGACTTGAGCTCTAATTAAGCTCGCTTAGGACTCAACTTACGAGTGATGCCAAGTATTAAAACAAGCCAACTTTTAAGCTACAAAATAGTATACTCTCAACTAAGCAGGTAGCAGCAGGTCGAGACACAAAGCTAAAAGATAAAAAGGAAGAGGTGGTGGCGTTGGTCGGGTGCTCACTTGGGACGTGGAGTCATGCGGGCGCTGCGCTTTGGGGTCGGTGGCGGAGAAGACGGTGTAGACGAGCACAAAGGTGCCGATGATCTCTCGCGCCGAGCCCCGCCCTGCGGGAGTACCCCGACACGAGCAAGTTGGCGCCGCCGTCGTACTGTCAAGTAGGCGCCTGAACGCTTGACGAGCCCCACGCCGCAGATGGCGCCGAGGCACTAGGGCGGTGAGGGGAAGGTGGGCCGGCCAGGGGGCCAACCACCGGGGGCAAGGGGGCGCGGCGGCGAGGTCGAAACCCTAGGGGGTGGGAGGAGCAGGTGGTGGGAGGGAAGGAGCAAAGGCGGTGAGGGAAGCGCCGGGCCGGGTGGGGCCAACCACCGGGAGCAAGGCGGGCGTCGGCCATGGGGTCGAAACCCTAGGGCGGGAGGAGCAAAGGCAGTGTGTGCAGGAAGGAGCAAAGACAGGGGCGGAGATGGGCGGGAGGTAGGGGAAGTGGCGCGGGGTCATGCCGGCGGGAAGGGGCGCGGGTCAAGGCTTGGCGGGCAGCTTGACGGCGTCGGAGGAGAAGAGAGCGCCCAAATGAAGACAACATCCGCGCCCGTCAGATATATAGACAGATGATTTGTAGGGCGGTTTTTGATCCAGCCGCCCCTAGAAATGCATTTGTAGGGGCGGTTCCCGATCGCGCCGCCCCTAGAAATGCATTTGTAGGGGTGGTTCCTCATCCAACCGCCCCTAGATATATATTTTTATTTTTTTTAAATTGTTAATTCTGTATTATAAAAACAATTGTGTATATATAAAACAATTGTTACCAAAATAAAAGTAATATAAAAACAATTGTGTATATACACAAATATAATATTTTGTATTATTATATATATGAAGAAATATATATATAAACGATTGTAGTCAAAACAATATAGAAAACAAAAAAAACAAAAATTATAAATTTGAATTTTAAAACTTCGACTACAATTTTATGACTTTAAATTAAATAAAATGAAAATATTGTAAACATAAAAGTTGTATAACTCATCGACATGTACAATTTCAATTTGAAACAATATTTTGAAAGAGTAAATGATTTCAGATGAAAAACTCATGAATACCAATGTTGTACAACTCATCAATATGCACAACTTTTATTTTGATCATATTTTCATTTGACCAAATTTGAACCGTTGTAATTTTTAATTTCACTAAATGGCAACTTCAAACAAGATTTTGAAACCTTAAATGATTTCAACAATAAAAGTTGTGAACATAAAAGTTGTTGAACTCCTCACTGTCTACAACTTTTATTTTGATCACTTCTTCATGTGACAATTCAAATTTTAAATTTCAGAAAATGATAGCTTCAAACCTGATTTTCAAACACTAAATGATTTCAGCTGTAAAGGTGATTAATATAAGAGTTATATAACTCATCAAGATCTCCTATTTTTATTTTGGTCATTTCTGCATTTCATAAAGTGTTAAGTGATTTTATAAAGTTTTAGAGTCATCTGGATGTTGCAAAGGGTAGTCTCACATGCATAAAATATAGTCTCACACACATACAAAAATATGTAGTCTTACACACGTACATAAATATATAGTCTCACACGCATGCATAAATCAAGTCTTACAAACACACACTTACACAAACACACCACGTTCAATAACTAGCTAGCCCGCTGTAACGACTTTTCCCTTGACACCTTTTCGTTCCCATGGCATTATGTCTTTGGGGAGGTTATTTTCCATAACACTGATCTTCTTAGGAAAGTCTGTGAATAGCGGCATCTCATCGTAGTTATTGTAAGCTTCAACATCGTCCACGCCATCAACTCCAATAATGTGTTGTTTTCCGGAGGCAACCACGTGCTTTGTCTTCTTCTTCGGGGGGAGGTTACTTTGTGGGTCAGACATATAGAAAACTTGTGCGACACGTGAAGCGAGCACCCAAGGGTCATCTTGGTAGCCTAGATTCTCGAGGTCCAGGACTCTCAATCTGATCTCGTTTAGTTGGTGTTGTTTGATCCAGCGGCATCAAAACAGGACCACCGTTATATCCCTTCCATAGTCAAGTTCCCATATCTCTTCAATGATGCCAAAGTATTGGATCTTTCGCCCTAATCCATCGAGAGCCTCTATTCGAACGCCTTTGTTTTGGTTCACATATTTACTATCCTTTATGTGGGTATAGTACGTGTACCCATTGATGTCATAAGCATTCCAAGATGTCACTTGTCTCGATGGCCCCTCCGTCAACCTACATCGATGGTAATAGAGTCTATGGTTTCTTCAAAGCGGTATGTTTTGGTCCTTCAACCATGTAGTTAGTCGTTGCTTGTCTTTGTTTCAAGACCCAATCATCCGAACGGCCATTTCTCCCCGCCATAATGATAGCCAAGTGTTCATCAATATACGGTTGCATCGGTTGTGTACTCGCAAGACAATCGTAATGCGCCCGACTCACCTCTTTGTAATCATGGTCGATGAACACTTTTCTACCATGGTGCCCTTCCCGCCAAATTACCCTTGTGACGAGAATCGGGTTTACCAATCCCTTTCGTACTTTTAGGTACTCTTGACAAAGACTCGACGACTTCTTCAAGATCAGAACCCTCTATCATGGAGCCCCTCTGGGTATGCTCGATTATGCACGATCGACTTAAAACCGACATGAACCGCTTCATATGACCACATTTCATGCAAGTAGCAAGGGCCAAGTTACCAGATTCGATGAACCATGTGAATCATGAGATGTGGCATTATATCAAAAAAAGCAGGAGGTAAACACATCTCTAGTTGGTTTTGTGTCTCCACCACAAATTCATATAGGTCACTCGGCTCTTCCTTGCCAATCATCTTCGTGAGATCTTGAAAAGAAGTAGCACATGCGGTGATGGCCATTTTCAAGAACTCGGCTTTATAGCCCCGATTGCAATAATAGTAGAAGAAACATCACAAGATCACATAGCAATCATGAGCCTTGCGAAATTGTGTTATTGACAAGTCCTTCGACACTAGCTTCTTCACATTTTTTGAAAAACCCAGCGGGACTTTGATCCCCTTCGTGAAAGTGCATATAGCTCTCTTCTCGTCTGGTGTTAGGTTGAAGCACGCCGCGGGTAGAGTGTATTTTCCATTAGCCTCAGGTACCGGGTGAAGCTGTGGCATCACGTTTAGCTACACCATGTCTTTTTGTGCTTTCAGACCATCCTTTGACTTGCCTGTGTCCATCAAGGTAGCAATGAGACTCTCAAAGACATTCTTCTGCACGTGCATAGCATCAATGGCATGGGGGACCTCCAAGTCTGGCCAATAAGGCAGATACTAAAAGAAGATCGATTGTTTCTTAAAAGGTACGCCTTCGACAGGAGGTGTGCTTCTATCTCTGTTCGTCCCATCCGGATTCTTCTTTCCATAGACGACGCGTATGTTTTTCACCATTCTGTACACATGTTCTCCGTTATGACGTCTCTCCGGAGGGGGTTCAATCTCTGGGGCGTTGTCATAAAATCTAAAGAATAATTTGCTGCGGTACTTGTGACTTGTCTTTAAGAAGCGTCGGTTCCTTAGGTAAACTATCTTCTTGGATGCATCTAGGTACACCCATGTAGTACCATCTAAGCAAACCATGCATCCCGTCTTCCCTTTGATCTGTCCAGACAAAGCAAACAACGCGGGGTAATCATTGGTAGTAACAAATATTATTGCTCTACATATGAAGTCCTCCTTTCGGAACGCATCATACATCTACTCCCCATGCCTCCATAGCCTCTCCATTTCTTGCATCAAGGGCTCGAGGAACATGTCTATATCAATGCCTGGTTGTTTAGGGCTAGAAATAAGAATAGTGAGGAGAAGGTACTTTCTCTTCTGACACAACCATGTTGGAATGTTGTACATGGTCAAGATCACTGGCCATGTGTTGTGGTTACTCATCCTCTCGTTGAAGGGATTCATCCCATCGGTGCTCAGGCCAAACCGTACATTCCTTGGGTCATCGCTGAATTCTTTGTGCTTCTCATCAAACCTTTGCCACTGACTACAATCAGTCGGGTGTGCAATCTTATCATCATCCACCTTGCGCTCATCATCCCACCATGTCATGAGTGTGGCTTCTTTAGGGTTTAGGAACATACGTCTTAAGCGGTCGGTCACTGGTAGGTACCACATTACCAGGGCAGGAATTCTTCTCTGCTTTGCATCGTTGCCTAATAGAGTGTCCTCTGGGGGCTGAGATTCTTGTACCACCTTTTTTGTACCCTTCTTATTCCTCTTTTTCCCCGTGGATGGTTCGTCCCCACCGTAAAGGTCATTGTTCTTGTACCGGCTGGCCCCACACCGGGGACATTTATCCAATGACTTGAATGTTTTGCCATAAAAAAGTATACAGTGGTTGGGACATGCATGTATTTTTCCAACCCCCATTGTCAATGAACTTATGACCTTCTTCGCTTGGTACGTGTTGGCGAGAACTGAGTTTGGTTGTGGCAGCACCCATGACAGGAGATGTAATAGATCATTGAAACTACAGTCTGACCAGCCGTACTTAGCCTTCAGGATGAGCAGCTCAAGCACAAAACGTAGTAATGTCCAATATGTCGGACAGCCCTTTTCAACACCATACACAGTCTCCTTCGATGCTTTTGTCACTCTTTCCAGATTTTCTAGACCTTTTGGGCTATTTAGTAAAATCTCTGGCCCAATGGTTCGAATCATGTCATCTAAATCATCTTCAACTCCGACACGTGCTCCACCATCATTATTGGCACCACATTCGTCGTTACCATCCCAACCACCAGCATCACCACCTTGTTCATTGCCAAACTCAAAATCCATTCGTGCATCAAGCTCCGCTGAATATTGGGACAGGGATTCTATGGTTTTGTCGTCCTATTCCTCCTCATCCTCGTCGTTAACAATAACCGTTTCACCATGGTGAATCCACACTATGTAGTCCTCAACAAATCCTCGCATAATCAAATATGATCTGATGATAGTCACATCTGTCCATGCCATACGGTTCTTGCAATCTTTACAGGGGCAAATAATTGTATCATTATTATCTTTCAATGTCGTTGCATGCTTCGTTGCGGCTTCAATAAATTTATCCACCTCTTCACGAAAACCTGCCTTGAACCTTAACGAACCATACATCTAAGAGTTCCTGTACTCCATCTTTTACAACAACAACAAAACAAACATTAAAGGACTACTTATTCAGATATATATAAAAATGAATCAAAGTAATAATTATTTGAGAATAATTGTATATACCTCAGATATATATGAATATAAATCTAATATAATTACATGAAGCATACAAACACACCATGGTAGAGAAAAATTAATTAATGGCCCATTTATCCATAAATAATTAAAATACATATTTATTGATTACAATAAACAATTTCAAAGACAACAATTAGCAATAATTATACTTTATCCAATATCTTTCATACAAACCCTAGTCTAATTTTATCAAACATAAATTTACAAAAATGAAATTAATAAAAAAACCAAACCGTAGATCTAGATCACATGCACATGAAACATCCGTAAAACTAATTAATGGTTCACTAAAATCAAGAAACATGGACCAAATAAGGGTATGATCTTGTTCCCCTCCCTAATTTACCCTAGTATATTTAAAAATTGGGTCTAATTTGCTCATAAATAGCTCAAGCACCATAGAAGAGAGAGAAAAACAAAACTCTAATTACTCACTAACCAACCATTAAAACTTCAAAAAAAGTTTGGAATAGCATTTTCTTACCTTCTACAACCTCTCCACCAAAGGATTTGAGACCAAAACCTTCCCCCCTTAGTAGAGCAATTTTTGAGAGGTGCCCAAGGCCTCCCCACCTTTTTTCACGGGTTGGAGTGAGTGACCCGAGGAGGAAGAAGGAGCTGCATCTGTTTTATATGGGGGGCATTTGTAGGGGCGGCTGGTGATTGAGCCGCCCCTACAAATCGGTGCTATAAATACGGGGCCATTTGTAGGGGCGGCTCAATCACCAGCCGCCCCTACAAATACTATTTCTAGGGGCGGCGGGTGATTGAGCCGCCCCTATAAATCAGACCCCATTTGTAGGGGCGGCTCGTAACACCAGTCGCCCCTGCTGTTCCGTTTGTAGGGGCGACTGATGTCTGGGCACCTTAGCACGCCACTGTAGGGGCGGCTCCATCACCAGCCGTCCCTACAAAACAATCGAACCATTGCTAAAAATCGTTTTCTACGTAGTGGGCGACTTCACCCGTCGCCGACCGTCGACCATCCAGCCCATGCAGCAGCGCTCCTCGGGCACGCGGCACGCGGCCACGACGGCGGCGAGGGCCTTCCACAGGTACGCGGACACCGCCTGGACGCGCGAGGAACGCTGGAGCTCGGTGCTGGCCATCTCCCGCAGTTTGGCGATGTCGTTCGCCTCCACGTAGTAGAGGTGCTTCACGAAGCTGGCGTGGGCCGTCAGGGCGTTCACCATCCGGTGGTCATCGTACGTGGTGAACAGGTCGCCGAGCTCGGCGCCGTAGGCCGGCGTGTCGCGGGGGCGGAACACCGAGCGGTCGTGCTTCACGGCTCCCTCGGTGATGCTGTCGGTCCGCGCCAGCTCCGACCACATCCTGACGCACATGGTGACGCCATTGCCGTCTTGCACGAGGTTGTTGGAGCCCCACACGACGGAGAAGCCGCCGCACGTGAAGGACAGGAGCTGCACCGAGAGCGTCACGTCGTCCGGGTATGGCAGCATCATCTTCTTCAAGGACTCCTCCGCGAGGCCGTAATCTAGGCTGCCCAAGGCGACGCCGACCTGTCCCACCACGAGCTCCGCGCCCTGGTTGTGGCAGTGGAGCTCGGGGACGCCAGAGCTTGGGTTGATGACGATGCGGCCGGTGGGAAGGTAGAAGTGGTTAAGCAACGTCGGCAGGACGGCCTCGAAGGTGGACACGACGCCGTCGAAGCCGCCCGAGCCGGACTTTGGCAGCGTAGGGTACCATGGAAGCCTGCACGTTGTCCGGGTACAGATCAAGGTTCGAGAAGGCGACGACGTGCGGCTTGAGAGACATGTCGGAGGCCTTCACAAGGTGGCGACTCAACACGCGAATGGGCACCTTCGAGGATCTTTTTACTGGCAACCATATTTTCTAGTCTAGTAGTACTTAATATATCTGTCAACAGGTTTTCTTATGTTTTATCTGTCAGATTATGAGTTGTTGATTTTGCTTGGAGATTTGCGCTGCTGTTTGGGTCTGCTGAGTGCTGACGGGTCCAACACGGTACCGAACCTTTGAAACCCGCAAAACCTGCTATTTTTGAAATCCGTGCCATGCTTATCCTTTCATCCATCTCGTATGGCATCTATCTATACCGTTGAGGGCGAGAAATCCAAAATAAAGAAATAAAAAACGCAGAAATAGAGTGGAGTAAAAAGTGAAAAACTATAGGATTGTAAAATACGGGAATGTGAACCACATGCTATTTGGATTGCAGGAATCTATAACATAGCAATCATGAGACATATAGTTTAACAAAAACTTATTACATTCAAGTTAACGAGAACAAAGGTTTGATTCTTCTAGCTCAGAAATTTTGCTTGGCGCTTGCTCAAGTGGAAATTGGATTTTCATTTTTTGTCTATATATTTTTTTAAAAAAATCCTATTCATCTAGCTATGTACTCCGTGCTACCGTAAGGATTGTTTCAAAAAAAAAAGTACTACTATAACGAAGAATAATATAAGCCTGATTAGCACATGCATGCAGGAGCAAGCGTTGGAGGAAAAATTTCCTTGGCTTGGAGTGGATTTTTTCTTTCCTCCAAAAGTACATCTTCCATTGCCATTTCTCTCCGAAATTTCTCTCCAATTCCTTTGTTCCAAACGCGTTGCTTGCTTTCCTTTCGGAACGAACACCTTCATTTTTCCTAGATCTTCCTCCATTCCAAACGGCCCTAAAGTGGTAGATGGCGTGCCCTCTCTCAAATCCCTGTAGATGAACATTCCCATGACTCATTTTCCTGTACTGCACAGTAGTGCCACCACCACCGTCCGATCCGGCCTCTATAGTACCGGCCGTCCACGTTGGCTCACTCCAGAAACACCTACCACTGCCTTTGAACCCCCTGCGACGCTGACTCCCTTCCAGAAACGTCTCCGCCCCGAACCCACCGACCCTATCGGCCTCCCTCATCCCTCTGCTCCCCAACTCCCCGCGCTCGCCGACGCCGTTCGACCCGCCCACGCTTCGCACGCGCCCGTCCTCATCCGCTCGCCCCTCACGGCCTCACCTCTTACGTCGCTGCCGCCGGTGAGGGAGCCACGCTTGATGGCGTGCCGGATGGCACGGCGAGCGGGAGGGCCCCTACGCCGCCGCACCTGCTACCGCGCGGACGAGACGGAGGTTCGTGTCCCCTTTTTCTTCTCCATCTATGCCTGCTCCCCGTATCGCCCCCCACGGCCTCTTCCTCACCGGACCTCAGGCCTCTTCCTCGCCCTACCTCTCCTGATCCGAAGCACGGCCTCGACGACCTCAGGGCATAACACGGTGCAATCCGTGAGCTTGCTGCTGGAGGAGCACATCCGGATGGCCTCCATCCTGGACAATACTGTAAGCCCCCTCCCTTCCCTTTCATCTTTGTTTCCTTCAGATTTCTTCTGTTCAATACTCGCGGATTCTGGCCTGATTTCGCCCGTGGATGGATCCCATCACAGAGCTTCTTCCTGGCAATGGCCAAGATCGTCGGCACGCTCCGCCCCATGTCGCGCTGTGTCAACACCATCTCCGCCTGCCTCCATCCTGGACAATACTGTAAGCCCCCTCCCTTCCCTTTCATCTTTGTTTCCTTCAGATTTCTTCTGTTCAATACTCGCGGATTCTGGCCTGATTTCGCCCGTGGATGGATCCCATCACAGAGCTTCTTCCTGGCAATGGTCAAGATCGTCGGCACGCTCCGCCCCATGTCGCGCTGTGTCAACACCATCTCCGCCTGCCTCATGCCTGGCATCTGCAGTAATTTCCCACGCCCTCTGCTGCTCTGTCTCCATTACACAATGTATTCTGCTTTATACTGCAACTACTATCCTTTGTTTCCATGACACAATGACACCTTTCAAAGTTTATGCATTTGCTGCCGTTCTATCATGCAACACAATTTTTCCTTTAAGATGAATAGATGATTATTATTTTAGCGATATTTTGTCCCCAGTATACTTACTACATTATCTGTAATAGGCAAGATATCCTGCCACACTGTGAACCCAGCTAACACTACCTACTTTTGACTCATTTACAGGTGACCTTCCATGAGCATATTGCTTTTCCACACACTTGCATTTCCTCTTTTTCGACAAGACAGTCATGTAATTTGAAGCTTTTATGATCCTCCAATCTTAGTCAACATATAGCACACCAAGGCATGCAATGATGTACAATTACCAACCATTGCTATTCTGACCCGCACAGCTCGCTGGGGGGCTGACTACTTGGAAATTTTAAATGACATATGAGCGGATACCCACTGAATTCAGGTACTATAGTTACTGTTCTGTTTTTTTTTAATTCCTAATTGCGTGCTGAATCCGTTACACCATACTGTTAACATCCCAAGTTTTGTCATGTCAAACATGGAAAAATTTCCCCACTAACTGAAGTTTTAATTTTGTTGGTCCCAACCTTTTGACATTCCCAAATGTTTCGGTCAATGATGTCCCTACTATATTGAGTGGTGAGCCTTAGGCTGTAACCTTACCTATGATCTCTTTTCCTGATGATGAATTTTACACTAAGGTTCGCATGTATAAGTTCATACACACATTGGTGAAAAAATTAAAATACATGTTCCTGGAGTACAAACAGTATTGTACCTACTGTTCTTAGTATAAGGAATCACTTAAATAAACTTTCCCTCTCTCTTTATCCTTTTAACTGCTACTAAGTATGGAAGTGTACCAAAAAATTAATCTCCTGCTACTACAGCCTAATACAACCCTAGATGTCATTCCTTGCCTTTTAAAGTTTTCTGTGGTCCAAACCATATGACTGCAGGGAAACCATGCAACAATGTTTTGGATCACATCCAGGTCCACGGCAACTAAATCAGTAGCCTTTCATTCTGCTTATTCAAGGACTATCCAAAAAATCTACCTCAACCAGCAGCCTGTAGTCTCAAATTCTAATTACTTGCTCATTATATTCTGATTTCCCCACCAATACTATTTCCATGGGATTTGTACCGATGACATCCACATCGTCACTTTTCGCTAAACAACGATTAGGCAATAGGCTACTTTTCACAAACTTTCTGTACGGGGTTGTGGTACGTGGTACGCTACTTGTGAGAGATTTTTACACTTCGGATCGAAAATGAACCCGTGGACCTGGGTCGAAGTCGACGAACCCAAGTCGAGGGTCGATGGTGGTGAACCCGTTTTATGTGACTCTGCTGCCAACCTAGCACTAACATGTTTGCCTACTGGAACTGCTCCTTCCTACAAATGTTCACTGAAACTAAACTGAACTCTGCCCCCACAAACTCCATTATTTTACTAAACTACAAACTAAAGCCACATAATCTTTGCAGGGATCCACGGTTGGCAGCATTGACGCCACTCCCAGCAGCAATAATGGAGATTATAATATAATGCAGTTTAGCTGTGGACCTGATACACTGTCACAGTACCCACAGGCAGTGATTGCAGCCCCTACCTGCACCAAGTTATTACTGATCCAGCGATTCCATCTGGTGTCTCATGAAATACCAAGCCTGGAGCCCTCCATTGCTTGGAAAGACATGCTTATTTTCCTTTCTATTTGTTGGTTACAGGCCCTTGGTCGTACTATTTTTGTTGGTTACAGGCCCTTCGTCATACTATTTCCAAACAATTTCTGCTTGCGACATTCACATTGGTGCTAAAAATGACTACACAGTAGAGTAGCTCCCAGCCTACATGTACATGTTTACTTTTGTTTCAGTGTTTCATGCCTTTGCTGTATGTTTTAAGCAGCAAATAGAAATTCAAATATTTGGTACCGCAACCTTTTGTTACTGCAACAAGTTAATTTAGTTACAAATTCCAACTTACAGTTGCGCGGGGTTTCCTGCTAGTTTTCCCCCAATCCTCTCCGCTTCCACACGCGGTGTGCGCAGGCGGTGGGTGGGGCGAAATCATCGGCGCTGCTTCGCTTGCGCTGCCCCTCCCGCCGAGCCTTGCCGTGCCTTCCGCTGAGCTGTGGGTGTAGTTTTCCGCTGAGCTGGGGGCGGAGCCTTCGACGCCAGGCGGTGGTGTGGGCTGGGCCGCAGGCGAGCGAGGGAGCGGTGGCTGGAGCCCTCCGTTGAGCTGTGCTGTGGCGAGGGGTGGTTGGAGCGGGATCCTCGGACGCTCCTGGTCCCATGCCGACAGAGGCAAATGAGTCTCTTCATGCTATCGATTTGTGTCTCTCCATCTGCAACCCAATGAGATGCAGGCGGTGAATTCAGCTACTGTAAATGTGATTCCAATGCTATTAATGATCTATAGTTCATTTCTTTGTTTCCAGTTGGAGACTGTACACATTATTCTAGTCGCATGCTAGTATCAAGTCTCTGTTTGATTTTTGGATGGATATTTGTCTGAACTAGGTTTCCGAGAATTGACACTGAATTTCTCTGCACTGATTATTAAGCTGCCATGCTGAATAGCTAACTGTAGGTGGTATGAAATTGATGCTTGTTCAGTCAAGTGAACGTGTATTTTTGTTGTTTTTTCAATTGTTTGCTTGTTAGCCGTGAGATTGTTTGCAGTAATTACTTAGTTCACTTGTTAGTGCTGATATCAAGCTTCTCTCTGTCTCTGTGTGTGTGTGTGTTTCTTTCTCATGTCTCCATTCACGGAGTGATACATGATCTTTTGTGCTTGGTTCCAAAATGCGATCAATATCGTTGTTCCAAAAATAATCTTTTTGTTACACTACCAACCAAGTGCAAACTGTAAACCATCTTTTCCTCCTTGATATTGCTGTGAAATCACCTAGAAACCAGAACTATAATGTGCTACATGGTTGTTGTGTGAGTTATTTCATAAAGGAAATAAATGTTATTTGCTACTATCATACCCTTATTTCTATGGAACTCATATGCAGGTTCCTAGTGTGGCCTTAGCACCAGAGGGATTAAGCTTATTTTAGAATCTGTGCACACATTTTTACCCTAGCATATTTCATTGTTACCTAAAATGAAGCACTAGTGTTGTATGCTCATTTTTGTGTTATTCAATGTAAGAGACCATAGGAATATGTTTTACTGACCAGTCTGAAGAGGCCTTATTGTTTGCAGAATATTCTGTATTGAGCAGGTATTATATGTCTCAGGGAATTAAATTCTTTTGCTATTACTAAAAATATTGAATTGCAGACTGTTTGCCCAACCATTTTGGTACTAATCTGAAATAACATATTGTAGAGCTTAGCTCTTGAATTTACTATAATCTTGTCTAGGTGACTCAATCCTTATCTTTTTACTGATATGATAATCTTTTTCAGGACATTGTTTTCAGTTTTGATTGAGAGAAGTCTATTTTTGAGTGGTATATGCTTGATTTCTTCACAATAACACACACTTCATTGTCTGAACTCTGAACAGTATATGCACTGCTGGGTGTCGTGAGTTCTGTCAATCAGCACATAATTGATGCGCCCACTGAGAATCACTCAATTGCCTCCAAGAAGCAATCTATCCCATGGGGTCTTGTTGTCTCTGTACTAAAGGATGTGGAGGCGGTTGTTGAGGTTGCTGCCCAGCACTTTGTTGGTGATGATCGCAAGTGGAGCTTTCTTGCTGTTACGGAAGCAGTGAAGTAAGACAATTACTCTTTTTTTGGTAGTTGCATATATACTGCCGTTGTTTATAATCAGACAAAATGGTAACAATTATGCAATAATTCAGAGCAGGTGTCAGGTTAGATGCTTTTCGATAGAGTGGATACAAGATGCTCTTACAAGGAGGGGAGGTGGCAAATGAAGAAGAGGTGACTATTCTTGAAAAAATTATGGAGTAAATGGTAGTGGAGTTCCAGCCATCTATCCGATGGATGGACATGCTAGCTGCTTTGAACAAATTTGGCAAGAATGCAAAATGATGCCTGATCCTATGTGGATGCGGAGGCTCCAACCTACTCCTGAGCCAACTGGTAATAAATTTAGAACTACGAAGAAGTTCCATTTTGGCCTCAATCTATCATGACAGACTGATTTTGTTCTCCAAACTCAAAATACCACACAACTTGACCCTTCAGCTGTTTTGAAGCTGGTTTTTGCTGACATGGTGATGGTTCTGGCCTCTTGGTATCATGACAGTCTGGTTTTTGTATGTGGGTATGTGTACGTGTGCGTGTGCGTGTTTCTCGGTCTGTCTCTTTGTGTGTGTGTGTGTGTCTGTGTGTGGGTATGTGTGTCAGGATGTTTCTTTTGGGAGACTGCATGATGGTCATATGGCCTATGGGCTGTAAATTTTTGTCAGCTATATGTGTAAGAAGATTGGTTCATGAATACATGTCTCTTCTTTGACCAGTTATTGATGTGTTGACCTTGTTTGGTGTGTGAGGGAGCAAGACAAGTTATATTTGTCTTTTTGAGCTTTATTTTTCGGAGCTGTAATTGTCATTTTAGTTGAGTTGAATCTATTTGCCTATTATTTTGTTATTTTGTGTGGTTTTGCTTTTTTTTTTTTTTTTTGTTGTTGTCTCTATTTTTAGTGTGTGTTTTGTTTCTCTAGGTGATTTACTATTTCTCGGGTGTGTTTGTGTATTTCTTTCTGTTTTTGTGCTTTTATGTTGTTGGTTTGTGTTTCTTTCCTCTCTCTTTTTTGTGTGTGTGTGTGTGTTTGTTTGTGTCTGAGTGTGGGACTGTGGGTGTGTTTTTCTCTCTCTCTCTGTGTGTGTGAGTGTGAGTGTGAGTGTGTTTGTATGTATGTGTTTCTTTCTCTGTGAGTGTGAGAGTTCTCTGTAAATAACTGTTTATTGGCGTTGATTCTGAAAAATAGCTGTTTTTGGTGTTGTTTCAGATCTAAAAATAACTCATTTTTAGAACTTCTGAAAGTAGCTTTCAATGGCAGTCTTACTGAATTGCTTGTCACTTATTGCGGTTTTCATCATATCTGTGTTTTGTTGGATGAAAATTAAATGTTTATTGAATCACAGATTCACAGGGATCTATCAAATATCAATTTGTCTGGAGAAGTTCCATCAGCTGGTAGCTCCCTTTTCTCCACCTCCATACAAACCCTCAAATCCCTGTGCAATCACTAGGTGATTTATTCAGACCCTCTAGTGAAATCCTTGAGTTCTAGTACCTTTTCTACCTTGGTTGGATTTGTGTACCTCCAAAACAACCATAATGATGTCTAGTCTGGAGATCAAAATGGAAGAACTACACTTTTCATGAAAATTAAGATGAAAATAATACTTCGTAATAAGGAACCAGGGCTTTACAATTTTGGTACTATGATTCTGTGCTGCGCTATTAGGCTGTAGATCAGTCATATGTTTGTGTTGTACTGCTGTCAACTGGCTATAGTGACTAGTGAGATATCAGGATAAGACTGGAAGCTACATTGACCTGTACCTCGTTTTGCCATCAAGAATCTCTCGTGTGCTTCAGGCATGCAGCAGAAGTCAAACTACCTTCGCTTTTTTTTGTCCCTATCCTGTATTAGTACGACAGTAATTAAGGGTATGGAACATTATGATTTTGCTTCTCTGACATCTTATTTTGTGTAGGAAGTAGCTCTTCCAGTATTGGAGCAATTGTTGGTGGAGTGACTGCTGGCACAGCCTTGCTATTTTCTGTTTTCCAGCTACCGGCGGTGGCGGCGAGTGTGGCGATGAGGCGGCCTCACAGCATTGCCTTGCCAGGTTGCGTTTCAGCTTGTGCGCTTTCTGGTGGCCGCGCGAGTGGCGGCGAGCTGCAGAACTTCCTGAGGCAGCAGCAGCAGGCGAAGACCGCATGGAACCTGGCGGCCACCACACCGACGGTTGCAGCTCTGATATCTTATTTTGTGCACGGAGAAGCTCTTCCAGTAGACCAGTACTGGAGCAATTGCTGGTGGAGTGGCTCGTTATTATTGGGTTTACCCGTTAACTGATCTTTGGCTAGTTTTGTGGGATTCGACAGATTTGTTGATATGTATATCTGTCAGATTTTGTAATGATTTGATTGGTCAGAAAAAAAATGACAGATTTTGACAGCAGAAATCTGTCATCAGATGTCTAGACAGACCTTATATTACTTGCAAAGAAGGAGCTGAGATAGACCATGCGCTCTCTTTCTGCAGCTGCATAGTGTAGCTCCTGGAGGCAGTTGCACCACATGACCATCCACGTATATATAGGATGTGTTTGGTATCGTGCCTAATATAAGTTGTAGCTGGCTAGAGTTAGGGTCCAGTTAGGGCAAACCTACATGAGGTTGTTTAGCTGGCCTGCTATCCTTGGCCTAATTATTGGTCCCAGTTTTTTTGTTTGGTTGGGTGAATAAGATCCTGCCTACACTACGGCACGGACGCAGGCAGAAATACTGCCCTTAAGGGCACATACTCCTACACGTGCGACCATCGGATGCTGCTTTGAGATGTGTGCCAACTTTTATAGGAGCCAAGGCGCCGCTGTACCGATCTCGGCTGATTCTCACGCTTAACTTGAGTTAGAGACGTCTCATGCTGGTTAGTGTTTGGTGCCCCCATAGAATCCGATCCTGGCATCACGAGAGTCTCATGCCTACCAGAACAACTTCCCCATCAGCAACACACAGTTTGTGCCGCCGAACGCTGGAAGGAGAATTGGAACGCCACGGAGAGGAACGGGAGAAGCTTGTTGAAAAATGATGTCCTCGGTTAGATTAGATGGGTTCTCGGGAAACAAAAGATGCTAAAAAAACATAAAACACGGTAATTTTAGTAAATGATTTATGCAGTTGTTTAATTTAATTTACACAACGACAATGGTGGTTAAATTTTTACAAAATCAAATTGATTGATTCAATGGTTATTATTGCTAGTGATGATTATACCTTATTAAATTGATGGCTAGAGGCTTCAAGGGAGGCATCACGTTAATTCTCATCTGATGTGCTAGGAGAAAAGATAAATCCTAGAAATTCTCACAATAATCAAAAATATCTGACTTTTCATTGGTAGACTCTAATCATCTTCATCCATAACTGTCATTGGATCTATCGTAATTTTATTAAAAAAATTACCCACCATTGCCATTATGAAAAATACATAAAGTAACCCCCTAATTTTCCATGTAAATTACCCACCTCTGCCATTATAAAAGATAATTAGGATCATGAAAAATGATTTTTTACTTTAATATTAGAAAAAAAAATACCCAGTCGTCGCAAAAAAAAAACCTAGTACTATGCATGTGCGTTGTTATGGATTTTTATTTACTTCCATTAAAAAATATCCAATCAAGTATAGTGAATTTGAGTAGTTTAGGCCAACTTGTTTTACTCGCAACTTGTTTTACTTAAAAGCTTTAAAAACTCGTCTGGCCGGCCATAGCTACCAAACATCCGATTTGGTTGTCTAAGACCAAAATTTCTTTTTTAGTGGATATAGGGCCGAAGCCAATCGAAGCAGGAGCTACGGAGAAAGAGCCGGAGCATGTGAATAACGTGAACTTGGGGGGCTTTGCTTGTCCTGGGAGGGGTGCATGCTGATCGCATAACGCTGGTTGTGCGGGCAAAACAACGGGCCGAGACCATGGTCGTCTCACTGATTAGCGAATCACTGAGGGCATGTCTCACATAGCTATAGCTTTAGCCAAAGCAGATCCACCCATGGTTTGAAAAAACTAAATATCTATAATTTTTTTCCTTTTCTTTTTGAGTAGATTTTTTTTCTTTTGTACTCTTTCTGTCTCCATCTTTTATATTCTCTCATATGTACACTAGCAGCCCACTACCACACGACTCCACCTTATCATCTCCTTATCATCTCGGTCTCTCCCTTCCACGCCTCGAGTACTACTCTACTAGTAGTACAAGATGGAGGTTAGAGTCATAATTAGTTTTATTATAATCATTCTATTATTCAAACTCACACCCTATATATATGCTCTTATATATAGGGGTTAAAATAGCGTACATCCAACCACGATTCAAAGTCTAATTCTAAAGCTCACACCCTATGTATGTATGTATGACATATATTTCCTTGCACGGGGGCATGTTCGCTAGTATGTAATTCGATACATATATAGCACTACCATTATATATGTTTGTTTATTGTAGGTGAAAAACCATGGAATTCCGGACACACTTCTTGAAAAGATGAGGAACAACCTTGAGTACTTCTTCAGACTTCCCCAGGACGAGAAGAAGAGATTTGGTCAGGTGCCAACTGGTCTAGACTTCCAAGGGTCGGAACCTCAAGCGGCGCTTGACTGGTCTGAAAGGCTTGACCTGGGTCCCGATCGTGACATTACAACATGGCCTACAACTCCTGCTAATTTCAGGTAATAAGTTTATATCTTAAATAAGTCTTGTAGTAACAGTAAGAAGCTAACTAAGTATTGTCCCTGATATGAATTGAATTAATTGTACGTTTAATTTCAATGCATATATATGCAACAGGGAACCCATTGAATCATACTTCTCTGAGGTGATGGCCAGATTCCTCACAAACAGGAAGTTATCTTGGATGCATCGACGCTTCGTTTGATACCACTGAATATGAGCTGATAGCTTCGTTCCTGGCTAGTATCTTGGTGTCGAACTCCCAAGTGTGGGAGGATGCTCTTTGGGCATCTGAAGGCAGCTCTGGAGGGGAGGGAGAAGTCAACCTGGGCATTCGGTTCTAACCGAACCGATCGGATCGGTTCTACGGTTCGGTTCCTCGGTGCTGCACAAAATTCAGTTCCCAGAAATCAAGAACCGTTCGGTTCCTTAAATTTCTCAGAACCAAGCATTTCGGTTCTCGGTTCTAAACCGAAATAACCGAGATTCTTTGCGAACACATTTTTGTGCCAAGAAAAAAATAGGGAAAAGAGGGGAAAATGGAAAAACAACATCGCTTGCCCCAGCAGAATGGGGAGCCTTGCTGGGCGACAGCGGCAGTGCCGGTGCACCAATGGGGAGCCTCGCCGCCGCAGCTGCCGCGCCGATGGGGAGGCGCGCTGCCGCCGACTCACACTGCCGCGAGCGATGCAGGAGGCCGCGCGTGGCTGGGGGGGCAGCGCACAACAGTTGCCAGAGGAAGGAGAGATCTCACCGGAGGGAGGAGAGGAGGTCGCGCCGGCAGATCTTGGAGGGACGATGGAGGAAGCAGGGAGGGCCGGAGGGGAGACCGAGAGGTGCCGTCGCCGTTTGCTGGGTTGGGACGAACGGAGGAGAAAGGATAGGGTGACGAGCTAGGGTTTCTGCAGCTATATATACATATGTTTGCTTTAATGGGCTTGGGCCTTATGTGTTAATGGGCCACTTCGGTTTTCTCGTTTAGTTCGGTTAACCGAGGCCGAGAACCGAAATAACCGTAATTAATTCGGTTCGTGGGAACTGGCAACCGAATTTGGAACCGATTTTTTCGGTTTCGATTATTTTAGTTCGGTTTTCGGTTCTTTCGGTTCGATTCTCGGTTATTTTTGCTTTGAGGGAGAAGCCACGACCAAAGATTAAGTCGGAATAGACAGAAAATGGCCTTGCTTTACCGAGGGAGGATCAAGAAAAAAAACTCTAAGCTTACGAAGAAAGGAAAAGTTTGGCCCAGTCAAATCTCTTATCCTGCAGGAATAGGTGCGTGAAGAAATCAGCCTAGGAGATTGTTGAGAGTTTTGAAGGCCCAGCAACAGAGAACTTGGTCAAAAGCCTCATTGCATCTGGATTTTGTTCATCTGGCCACATCTATCTATCTATTCGTCTGTTCATCTATCCGTCTATCTATCTACCCATCCATTTATATCTATCTATCTATCTGTCTATCTCTCTATCCGTCTATCTATCTGTCTATCTATCCGTCCGTCCACCCATCTATCTATCTACTATATATCCACCTATCTATCTATATGTATCTATCCATGCAATCATCCATCTAGCAAGTTATTGGTTCTTGGGGATTAATTTGCAATAAACATCAATACTTGGACCCTATAAATAGCATTGTGTAGTTGAAGCATGGCATACACATAGGGAGATATTGTTATCCTTTGAAGAGAAAAACATCATATCAAGACTTGATCCTAGAACCCCGAACACAGTGCGCAAAATTGGAAAAGTGCAACTCGTGTCGATCCTTGCTATAGTTTTTATCTTGTCCGTTGCACATCAAGTTGTGGGTGATGCAGATTGTTATAAGGAGAAACAAATGGTTATGAGACTATGCAATGATTCCATCAAAATTGGTGGTGACTATGTCCCTCCAACGGACTTATGTCGACAATATGTCAGTCGAGTAGACATGGTTTGTATATGTCACAAACTCACCTCATATGACGAACTTGTAGTAAGCGCCATTAAGCTTGTTCATCTTGCCCAAGATTGCCACAAGCCCGTGCCGTCGCGAAGCAAATGTGGAAGTAAGTATCTACCGCTATATAAATTTATTTATATATAAATATCCTTCTCTACTATGTTAATATCAGGTGAGAATTGTACAAGCTACTTCTGTATATATAGTCTATTACGTAATGTGCACAATATAATATCATTCAATTGTGTTCCAAGGTTGGACTGTACCATTGGCATCACTGAGGACATATCCATGAGAATTCAAGCCGGATTGCAGGCGACCCAAGAAATAACAATGTGTTCTTACAAGAGTTTCAAGTATTGTACTTGGGTTACCGAAATTGATAAATAATATTCATTTGTCCTAAAATGTGGAAAAGATACAAGAGTTAAGTATGAACGTCTACACGAGCAGAAACTTCATCTTTTTTTCCATAGCTAAAAAAGATAAGGCTCGATACATTTGCATGCTGCGCTACCCCACTTTGGTTTAATACCATATCACTGTGCAACAATAAATGAATGAATAAATGGATCGATATATGCAATTATTTGTTGAGTGTGTGTACATCTAGTTGATGTAGATGTACAAGTATGCTAGAATAAATAAATAAATAAATAAATGTAAACTAAACTCAAAATAAATACGTTAAATATGAAGGTATTGATGTGAATGCAACTTACCCAAAAAAAATGACATGGTCGTCACTGACAAATGCCTAACACGAGGGTTAGGTATAATCCTCCCCCTAAACGCACGGTAGGCTTTTGAGATATCTAGCTTAAATAAATAGAAGAGCTGGCGTTTTGGTTGGTGATATATATGTTCTAGCCAGGTTCCTCTCACAAACAAGAAGTTATCTTGGATGCGTCGACGCTTCGCAAATACACTTTGCAAGTTTGTGACCAAATACTGAATATGAGCCGATAGCTTCGTTCCTGGCTAGTATCTTGGTGTCGAATTCCCAAGTGTGGGAGGATGCTCTTGGGCATCTGAAGGCAGCTCTGGAGGGGAAGCCACGACCAAAGATTAAGTCGGAATAGACAGAAAATGGCCTTGCTTTACTGAGGGAGGATCAAGAAAAAAACTCCAAACTAACGAAGAAAGGAAAAGTTTGGCCCAGTCAAATCTCTTATGCTGCAGGAGCAGATGCGTCAGCCTAGGAGTTGAGAGTTTTGAAGGTCCAGCAGGAAAGAACTTGGCCCAAAGCCTCACTGCATCAGGATTTTGTTTAAAGCCCAGCCCACTGAAAGCTCTAAAAGCTCCACAGAAGCCCAATTGTTGATCCACACATCAGCAAAAAAAAGCAAGAGAGCATCCAACACATGCAGGGGCATGTAACATGTTCCATGGGTGGCTCAACCAGCACATCTATATTTCCCAAACTAATAAGCATTTGTTCCTTGATCGATACGAAAATATGAAATTAAACATGACTAATATAACGGCGCTCGCTTGATTATTATTTGTTACAAGCAGTGATAATGGTACCTACCTTACCTACCAGGCGGCGCCACCCTGATGGTCCTCGGCTTCTTGCTGCCTCCTGCTGCGATGGTGTCCGGAACATGCTTCGGGTCTTGTTCATGATCGTTTTTTTTTTAGCGGAAAATACAGCAGGGGAGGCCCCCACTGTAAACTTTTTATTTAAACAAAAGAAGCAGCAACTCTATACAAGAGATAACAAAAAAGGGAAGCAAGCCCGAGGTGTGCAAAGCAGAGCTAAACTAGAGCAAATTGTACAAGAAAGGAAGACAGAGCGCTTAGCGAGAATCGAATCTATGGGCTCTGTAGCCTAACTTCGTCATAGAATGAGCTTTTCCAAGAATCAAAGGATGGCCGGCCTCTGTCAAATATAGAGTTGTTTCTCTGCTTCCAAATCTGCCAGGTGGCAATGATGAAGGTCTCCATAAAAAAAGAGTTGTTATGTTGAGCCTTGGCTTGCTGCATCATCCGGAAGAAATCCATTGTGAAGTTCCAATTTATACCAAGGTGTTGCTAACAAGCTTGGGTAAAAAAGGCAGGTGAAGAACAAATGAAATGCGGTTTCTTCAATGTTGTTCTTGCATAGGACACAATTGTAGTTGTTTCCTGAAGCTTGTGCTTTTTCCTTCTCGAGAATATTCCTTGTGTTTAGTACATCCATCAAGAGGAGCCACGAAAAAACTCGAAGTTTGTTCTGACATTTGGAGTTCCAAATCCAGAGAAAAGGGATGGGGCTGTATATTCTTGTAAGGAAAGTCAGTAGCACTTTGATGAGGAGTAGTTCTTGCTTCCCCAAATGTATTCCCAGAGTCCTTTGAATTCGATCGACCTGCAGATCTTGAATTAATTCACGGAGACTTTGGAATTCTTGGAAGGCTTGCTCGATAAGGGCAAGTGAAATTGGGCCTCAGAGTGTTATTAGACAAAAACTGCCCTTTGAAATGTTCTTATTCCGGGCAAAGGAATAGAGCCTTGGGAATTTGGATTCTAGGATGTTGTCATTCCAAAGGTCAGACCAAAAAAGCACAGTGGAACCATCTCCAAAAGTGCACTTTGCAATTCCTCTGAACATGTCACATAATTTTAGGACATCCTTCCACCAAAATGAACCCCTATTCTGTCGAAGCATGTGGCACTTGACAGGAATAATGCGCATTCAGATCAGCTTCACCCATGGATATCCTTCCTATTATAAAATTTGTCTAGATGCTTCAAAAGAAGGGTCTTGTTTTGACTCCTAAGATTAATAATTCCTAATCCTCCTTTTCTTTTGGCTTTGAACATTTTCTCCGAGGCCACCGGTGGTTTCATCTTTGCATTGGAATCTGAACCTCTCCAAAGACAAAGTGACGTCTTGCTCTATCAATATACTCAATGACCGCAACCGGCACCTCTAAGGTACACATGGCATATGTGGGCAGCGAAGAGAGGACTGAATTGATTATTTGAAGCCTTCAAAGCATGGGTCAGGGAAGGTAGAAGTTGCCGTGAGCCTTCTCTCAACTTTAGTCATAATGGGACCATAGTGTTCAACTCGAGGTTTTGTTGTTCCCAACGGCGGTCCAAAGGTAGTTAAAAGGAGAGATTCCAAATTGCGCACGAAGACACCAAAGAAGGAGTTGAGCTTTTTCAAGAGAGAGATTTAAGGGAACAAGGCAAGACTTCTCGTAGTTGACTCTCACACATCGATTGCGAGAAGGATTCGAGAAGGCCTTTTAGGCGAATAACTCCCTCCGAGAAGCTTTCATGACTAGAATAGTGTGTCGCTAACAGATTGAACAATGGGGAACCGATCCACTCAAAAGAAGGAATAGGCAACTCAAACAAACCTTCTTTGGTAGGCTTTGTTGACAATGCATTGAAGGAGATCCGCATGACAAGCACAAAGAGGAGAGGTGACAGGGGGTCACCTTGTCTAACCCCACTGACGACAAAGTGAAAGTGGTTGCACTGGCACACCATTCGGGAAGGACCGAAGAGGAGCAGAAGCAAGAATCCTCTCAATCCAATCAATCCAAAATTCAATGAACCCCAAGTGCTTCATCATCAGCAAGATTGTGTTGTGCTCAATTGTATCAAAAGCTTTTGTAAAGTCTAATTTCGTAATAATAAGCTCTTTTTTGGAATGTTGGCATTGATGGATGTACTCATAAGCCCAGGCCAAACAATCCTGTATTGTTCTATTTTTTATGAAGCCATCTTGGTTGGTATGAATTAAAGGAATTATTTTAGCTCTGCTTGATTGGCAAGGAGCTTTGTGATGATTTTGATGACACCATTCGGAAGGGAAATGGGCCTGTAGTCATTGACACTTGTAGGATTGTGCACTTTCGGGATTAGAGTGATGAATGAGCTGTTGATGGCTTCCAGATTCAAGTTACCATTGAAGAAATCAAAGCATAATTTGTAGACATCTTCTTTTATAAGATCCCAACATTTTTTCAGAAAGAGCCCATTGAAGCCATCTGGACCGGGAGCTTTATCGACGGCATGTGTTTGATGACCTCATCGATTTCATGGGTGGAGAAAGGCCTTGAGAGAGAAACTAAGTCATCTCTAGCCTGCACTAGATGATCAAGGTTGTAGAGCATTGTAGGATTAGAAGAGCATCCCATTCTCTTTTTAAAATCCTCTAGTAGCAGAGCTGCCTTTTCATTATGCTCGGTGATAGATCTACCATCCTCGGCTGTCCGGGCTAGTGATGGTGTTAATCCTGTATCTCTCGGTGGCTGCAGCGTGGAAAAATTTTGTTCCTTCATCTCCCAACTTGGTCCATCTCACAGTGTACCTCTTCTTCGGTACTCTTTTTTTGTAGCCATGTAATCTGAGAATGTGTGCTTTAAGAATCCTTCTGAAGTTAAATTCCTGTATAAAGAGAGGTCTTTGTTCTTCAAGAGAGTCTAAAACTTCTAAATTGTCATTGCAAATTTTAATCAACCTAGAGAGATTAGACAATTTCTTGCTCCACTTTTTTAGGGCAGCTCTAAGAAGCTTGAACTTTGAGCTAATTCTTGTGGCACTGTTTGAAGCTCTGACATTAGAGGTCCAAACAGATTTCACAAGATCCATGAACCCAGGGTGATCAATCCAGTAGTTCTCAAATCTGAAAGTTTGTGCCTTGGGGATATTGGTGCCAACCGTGTTCATAGGCGGCGACATGGACGCCCAGCGCCGCCCTCCCGGAGGGGTCCAGATTTGCTGACCACTGAGCGTCCCACTCAATGGCCTTGGCCGTGCTGCACGCCACGCTTGGCCCGCCGGGCACCGTCAGGATAGCAGACTTCTGCTTGCAGAGATATGATCATGCATTAGCAGCAGGACATGCATGTTGATGGTGTCTGACTGAAGAATGTTGATTAGCTCACCTGTGGGAAGAACCTCTCGAAGATCATCCTGTAATAGTAGGCCTCCTTTGTGGTCGGAGTGTTGTGTGGGAAGATGAACTTTGCATTCGACAGCATCTTGTCAGTCACCTGCATGGAGATATGTATGGATCATGATTCATGTGGAGATCGAAATCGACATGGCAATATTTTACATTTGATGCTGCATGAGCCTTGAGGCCATCGATCCAGCTGTACCCAACGCCGTCACTGAACTGCTCCTTCTGTCTGTACAGGATATGCTGCAATAAGGCCAGTGCGTGCATGACACACAAAATTCAGATGTCTGAATGTCCAAATATCTGGTACTGCAGAAAATTCAGTAGAAGCAGTTGAAGCCACCTTGGGCAGGAATGGCTGCTCCTCATCGTCAAATGCCTTCCTCAGCACCCACTTCTCAATTCTTCCAAGATCAGGCCGGACCTGTAACGCTCAGTGTTCATGTATATTGCTTTGTTTTGAAAGTAATGAACTCGATCTTGGCTCTCAAGGTTCAGTAGTAAAGTACCATCTTCCACTCAGGATCGATGCTCATAGCCTGGTTGATGAACTCCTTGTCCAAGAACGGGACGCGAGCCTCCAGGCCCCAAGCCGACGTCGCCTTGTTGGCTCTCAGGCAGTCATACTGATGCAGAGCCTTAATCTGCAAGCCAAGAATCAACCATCATGCATGTCAGTCAGTCACTCAGGTTGCTCTGTTTTGCAAAGGTTAAGTTCCTGAAACTTTGCAGACCTTCCTGCAGGTTTCTCGGTGGAATTCCTCCTTGTCGGGCGCCTTGTGGAAGTAGAGGTAGCCTCCGAAGAGCTCGTCGGAGCCCTCGCCGGAGATGACCATCTTCACCCCGAGCGACTTGATCTTGCGCGACATCAGGAACATGGGCGTGCTCGCCCTGATTGTGGTCACGTCGTACGTCTCCGTGTGGTAGATCACGTCTTCAATTGCATCAATGCCGTCCTGATGCAGCAATTAAAATTTGTGTTCAGTCAGCACTGGCTCCTACGGGAAAAAAAAATGGGCATTGGTTCACGGTTGGTACCTGAACAGTGAAGTGGAACTCGTGGTGCAGGGTGCCCAGGTACTCCGCCACCTCCCTGGCCGCCTTCAGGTCAGGGGATCCCTGCAGTGCAGAACATGTGCTGGTGCATGCAATGTAATCTCTACTGACGAGATCGATTCAGTACAAACATAGGTAGGGAGTAATTCAGTGGAGTGACTTGTATACTGAAGTGTACCTCGAGGCCGACGCAGGAGTGGAGCTTGGTGCCCCAGCGCTTGGCGGCCTCTGTCCCGGCCAGGTGACGCACGGCGACGGCCGCCACCAGTGACGAGTCCAGTCCGCCGGAGAGCAGGACGCCGAAGGGGACGTCTGTCATCAGCCGCTTCAGCACAGCCTGAACCAACAAACAGTTTGGTAACTTTCATCTGTCCGTACTTTCAAGTTCCCCTGCTTTAATTAGTTCATCTCTGTTAACCTACCGGACAAAGTTGTGTAATTTGCCATCGTTTAGTAGTGAAGATTCTATGTCACTTATCAAAAAAAAAAAAAACTATGTCTTTCCGTTTTTTTAATGCCGTCTGAAGTGGCAAACAGTAGTATGTGACATAACATTCTCAGTTTTCACAAATATACTTGTGTACTAGTTGTTTTTAAGCAAAATCTGATATCTGTCAGTTCAGTTTGTTGGTCCAACCGAGCAGGCACTGAATTACTGAAGTCTGAAAGTCCTTTTGTTCACCTTTTCAAACGCCTGCCTGAGCACCAGTGGATCATAGGGAACAGAGGGGATGATGGCCTCGTTGTACCATGGTGGGTTGTACCATCTGCTGAATCCTCCAGTTTTGCTGGAGTAGAGATGCCCCGGAGGGAAGATCACAAAGTGCTCGCACTCGTCGTTCAGTGCCTTCATCTCTGACGAAATCCACACCGACCCTGCCAGCCATGCCATATTATGTATTGTTCAGTTTCAGTTATACATTGGTAGCTGCTGCCCTCTGTCTCTTTGATGTGGATAGTAGTATGTTCTGTTACAGAGAGAGACAGTTCTTACGTTGGACTACTTGTACACGCTAAAATTTCCATTACGGTACCAATATCTATTGGGCTTGGCTATGGCTGCACGTTCTTTGTTAGCTGCATCTTCATCTTGATCCATAAGGGTATCCATATCTTCACTTTGTCCAGCCCCCATCCACCTGCCCATTCAACCATTTCCCAACATGCATTCCTAGTGTGATCAGCATATATATATTTACAAAGGTGGTAATTTAATTGTATCAACATTACCTGTTTGGTGGTTGTTTCTTGCCATCTTCAACAATATGGGCCACCAGAAAAGGTGATAATGAATGACGTTCTATCATCTCATATTTTGTTCTATCAAACACAAAAAGATTGGAATTAATAAAAATTATGTTGATTGAACCTCCTCCAACTTGATTATTGAAATGTTCCAACATACCAGTCAAGTGCAAAACAAAAATCTGTTAGCAGCACTAACTAAAACTTCAACACCGAAAGAAAAATCCACACTTACAGTCCTGTCTTAAAATAGTTCAGAATTCCGCAGAGAAGATCAAACCGCAGGTACGGAGTTCCCATGTTCCTATCATAGTAGTTCATACCCAAGAAACTGCCGTTGACATCAACAAGGGGCCCTCCAATCCCAGCCTAACCCGGTTAATTAAATGGAGAGGTTGTCAGTTGTGATGCCAAGTACACAAGGCCAAGTACATCATATTCATGCAGCAACTAAAAAAAGAAAATCAATGGGACTACCTTAGTGATTGTACATGTAGTGTAACGAAGATCATTGCAATCTAGTTTGCCTGACCACCTGGTACATTCCCCACCTGCAGCCATAACTAAATCTGGTTCCAAGCAACGGCCAACAGCTACTACCTTAGAATAATCCACCGTCTGATGTTTCAGATTCACAGGACAATCAACATTATAATTCTTGACGGTGAGTAGAGCAACATTGTAATGTAAACTACAATGTTCCAATTTCCCTTCACAGCATTCATTGTTTGGAAGCAACACCTCAATCTGCAAACATTACGAGACTTAAAGCAGTGTCTTGAAAGAACAAGAATCACACAATACAATTAGGCGCACCAACCGTTAAGCCCTCAATAATTGTGCCATCACAATTCCTAACCAAGCTTGCTGATGTCAGAATAGCTGGGCATTTATCAACATAGTAGTCAATGAAAAATCCCGTGCATGCAAATAATTTTGATTCGCCTGGGAAACATAATTGTCATTAGCTAGTGATGACTAAATACACATGTAAAATAGTATACAGCACATTACAGTAAAATCACCATTGAACGAAGCAAGTGCAACAAGGTTTCCACATATGTGACGAGCAACTCCTTCCTTGAGTTCATCCCAGACACCATTAGGATATATGTCACCAAAAATCTTAATGCTACCTGGTTGGCGAGACATTGTATAATAGTTAGTCGCACAGAAGAGCTGAAAAAAGGCTCAATGCGTGATAAATCAGCAAATGTACAGGCATTGCGATTGACTATATCCAATGATGAACTGGGGTAACCAAAACAGTCAATCCAAATTGTGCCTTGCTAATGACATGCTAATATGCAAGTCATTTAAATCTCTGCAGATAATTTGTAAAATTATAATATGATGGCATCTTGTGCAGTTACTCATATTATAAGTGATTGTGTTTGAACAAATCCATGAACATCCCTTGAAGGAGCCAGTGATAATGTGCTGTATGCACCCTCAATACAGATCTTTCCTAGATGGACTAGCAAACTGCCTGTGTTGCAACAGCAATACAAAATCAAAGGAGTACATTTGTGTATATAGTGAACCTTGGTTCCATGATGTCGTTCTAGGAGATTGGGATGAGGGTGAAACTGATTTGTAATAAGTGGCAGGATAAGGGTAAATATGGTGGTGACATGGGGTACAGTGGTGGTGATGGCAAACACCCCATCATCACCAACTCAGTCTTCTATAGGAGTTGAGATTTATGTAGAGATGCATGCACACTAATATCTCAAATCAGAGGAAATTTACATTATAAAATCAGAAGAGGTATACTTATTTGAGATCACAACGCACAGGCAATGCTAATGCAGTAGTAAGGTACGTGGATTGGCGCTAACACTACAACACAACTGTGGAGTGTGGAGGACTATACTAGGTAAATATAAGTATAGATGCAAAGGCTAATTTGCACAACTAAAGGACCTTACAAATAGTGTTGGATCACAATTAAAAGAAAAAACATCTGACAACCAATGTCAAGTGGTTGTGTATTCACCTCCAGGATGGGGGAAAAGTTTCACACCTATGCGTCTTCGTTTTCTTTGATCCCTGTAGATGAAGATCAGTATGAGTACTAACCCAAAAGGGACCAACTTGAGCAGATATAATGCAATAAAACAAGAAAGAACTAACACCCCGTTTGGATGTAGATATTGGAGCCTAGACTCTGGAATTGGAATCAGGTTTCCTCAATACTGCTGTTTGGATGCACGTGGAATTGAGATTTGGCATTGGAGACCCAATTTCTTGGTATTGTGAACTATAACTTGCGGGGGCCTATCCCGATACAGAGACGGACCCCTCCGTATTGAGTGGAATCGGGGGTCTCTTCCCCCTGGCCGGCGGTGCAAGCACGAGCACCCTCTTCCCCGTGCCCCCGACACCTCCCTCTCCTTCCTCAGGTCCGGCAGGTGTCCGCCAGTAAACGTCACCGCCCCCGACGCCTCCCTCTCCTTCCCCAGGTCCGGCAGGTGTTCGCCGGTCAAGGTCGTCGCCCCCACCTGCCTCTCATTCCCCAGGTCTGGCAGGTGCTCCTACAGGTGTGTCGGGGTGGTGCGGTGGAGAGAAGATGGGTGAATTCTATGTACACCCAAACAATAGATTTGGTATTTGTGAGTCATTTCCAAAACATGGCTGATTTGGTATTGGTACCAATTCAATGCCAGCACCTTCAATATCTACATCCAAACAGACCCTAAGCAAATGTATACAAAATCTTGGTCAAGAGATACCATATCCCCAACTAGTTAGTCTCAGCATAAAAAATTCTGACATAATTTGAGGTAGACAAATATATTGGCTTCAATATTTCATACAGAGGAATGTTGCTACACTACAAGCCTACAATACAGAGCAATAAGACAGCTACCCCATTTGAAAATATCTTTCACTAGAGAGTAGAGATACCAAACCATCAAGTTGTTATTAAAGGTAAACATTAGAAGCTGCTGCAACTACATAGATAAACAAACTGGAAATATATCTGCATACCTGACTGGCTTCACCAGGTTTAGAAATACACTCTTTTTCAATGATGTATGAAAATGCCCCAGACGTTCGAGAATTATGCTCCTTGGCAAGAAAATTGGTCTTTCCATATCCCAGAAGAGGTTCATGCCAAAAAAGTCCCCATGAAAATCAAAAAGTGCGCCACCCTGCATAGTCTAAAAAAAAGTGTCGGGCTTTAAAACGATAAAGAATCAATCAGAGTTACTCCCACCTTTATGGCTAAATTGTCACAGTTGATCATCTTATGCAAAATTGTAATTGCTATTGTTTTATAAAAAATGTGTAAATACTTTAAAATGTATAATAATTTTGTATTATCTTCCACTGCAAATTCAACCAACACAAAACCCATTGATCTTAACTGTACAGTTTGATAGGTATTGGGAATTTGGGATGAGTAAAGGTAAACAGAGGTAGTACAGTAATATTTTCTTTATTGAATATGAGACATAGTTCAGTTCATACAGTAACAGGCTAACAGAAAAGATTAGAAGACTCAGAATAATGCTAGTGTACCTTAGATAATTTACATGTAGAGAACATAACATATCGACTATATTGAGATCCACGTGAATCAGTGCATGTCCCAGTTGCGACCAATAAGCTGCCAGAGATGTCACAACCTACTGCCACTACCTTTCTACCATGGGGGTCAAATTGCACCTGATGATTGAGAGGCACGCAATAAACATCAAGGACAGGCATGACTTTGACAACAGCAATTTCATGATCCAAATCATATTCTTCCAGAAACCCTATGGCAACATTTCCTTCATGGCGTACTTCAATCTATATTGATAAAAGCAAAACAGCATAGAATGGTCACAATTATGTACGGTAAGTAATAGTGATTAATAAATGATTCAGCAGCACAAACCTCAAGCTTATAATGGCCATTTGTTTCAGAATCATGTAAAGCTCTAACCAAACTTGCTGAAGTCACAAACTTTGTGCAGTTACACTGGCGTTCTATAACTATGCCAGAGGATGCATACAGCACACGTTGTCCTACAAGATCATAATTTATATCATTCACAACTAATGATTTGTACACATATATTTTGAAAAAAAAAGGTACAACAGAATAATCACCATTGGACAAAGCAATTGAGACAACACTTCTAGACAACTTTGATACAACTTCCTCACTCAGCTCATTCCACAAATCTTGATTGTCCCAACATAAGACCAAATTAAGAAAACATGTTACAAGACACACATGAGTGCTCAAATAGAGCCATAAATAAAAAACATGAAGAAAAAGGAAGAACCAGTGGACCTGAAATCGACAAGTCAGTTGCCTCTTCTCCACTGCAAGGTCTTTTATTATCAGCTGAGAATCTTGTAAGATCATCAGCACCCCTCTTACTTGGTAGCATCTTTACAAAACTGAAGCAGAATTAAAGGCAAAATGTGGGTCATAACCAGTAAACCAAACATTACTAGGTCAGTGATTCAATTTTTATTTATGCCATACTACTTTCATAAAGCAAAACAAAATAAATGCACCATCGACTTGATGGTAGTGAAACACGTAGAGTGCAAAATATCATCGTAGTGAAATATATACATTAGTTCGTAACCAATATAGAGCACAGAAAGAACATATTCCATATCTGATATATGGAATTAAAAGGACAAAAAATCCGAACTGTGGACCAAGGAACGAGCAACGAGAATAGCAAAACAACAGAGCCAAAACAAGCAGCAACGGATACACAATGAACTACACATGCAATCTTGACCCTACATGGAAATCAACCACATGCCAAACATCTCAAAAGTCTTTGAAAGAAACACCAAATGAGTAACAACACGGGGAAAAAACACCCTGATTTTTCATCAGACTTCCTAGAAAAAAATTCTGCCATTTAAACTTTATGATATTCTAAACCAATAGATTAGCAAACCAGCAACACCAAATAAATCCTAGAAAGCAAGCACCAAACTAACTGGTCGATTTCCATGGTATAGAGAAACTGAGGGTAGCTAATCTACAACTGACGGCTGACCTGGATTCATAAGAAATAATATATGTACAATCCAGCCTTAACAAGCTAATCACACACCAATAGGGAAAAGCACTATATATAAGAAACCATCAAAGCTTCACTTCCACACTAAAACCCCTGATATTTTAAGAGATACAAGCCAGTAGATAAGCAATCAGATGAACTAAAGATCCAACAGAATCAGCTCCTAACCTAATTCGTTTCCATCGAAATAGGATACAAAGGGGAGCCGACCTAATTTGGTGGCAGCAATATTAATCCATTGCTTATCATAACCTTAAATATGTATTTATGTCAAGCTATGTTTTTTTAAAAGATTCATGCTGAATTGTTTGGACAGAAACATGGCTCATAGTGCATAAACAGGGGTGAAGAGAACCTTAAGATATTGTGTGCTGCAATGCGTATTATCAACCCTACATTAGGTGACGCAGCTGCCACCAAAATTAGGTCGGCTTCCTCGTTCGATGGAAATGAAATTAGGTTAGGAGCTGGTTCTGTTGGATCTTTAGTTCATCTGATTGCTTATCTACCAGCTAATATCACTTAAAAATCAGAGATTTTAGTGTGGGAAGTGAAGCTTTGATGGTTTCTTTAACTATATATAGTGCTTTTCCCTATTGGTGTGTGATTAGCTTGTTAAGGCTGGATTGTACATATATTATTTCTTATGAATCTCATCATCATTATCATTATCATCATCATCCAATGTAAGAAAAGTAACTACAAATGTGTACTGGACTACAGAGAATGAACTACAAAATCAGTACAGATGGACTATACAGAGAATAAACTACATGAAGGATTCCTCGAAAAGTTAAGGATTAGTAGTTCTTTTTCGAAATCCATTTCGAAAAAGAATGGATTCGGTCTTATACATACGCGAGGAAGGTAATCAAAAAAGAAAGAAGACGAGTTCTTCTTTCTTTTATCACTTAGGAGCCGTGCGAGATGAAAGTCTCATGCACGGTTTTGCATGAGAGAAAGAAGCGAGGAATCCTTGCAGGTAGAAGGATAGCTTGTTGTTGTATCGGTTCAACAGCTACTAGGTAGCCTTAATTAAGCCACCAGCAGGACATGCATCTCCCCAATTTGGGACATGCATCTCCCCAATTTGTAGCTACTAATTAGTACTACTGCTGGTATATATTTAGTGCTAATATATTTTTTTAGTGTGGGCTAGGACTAGGATTAATGCTGTGACAATGAGCATGCACTCCATTAATTAGTTAACCTGATGGATGAATCAAGAGGCATCTATCACCACTACAGCTAAGTAATGAATGGAGAAATAAATTGAACAAGAGTTATTATTTGTGTTAATTTTTGTTAATTTGAATTGATTGTTACTCTACTCCAATTTGCATTGGTACATACCCTGCAAGTGTGGGTGTGGCGAAAGAACGGGGTCTAAGCAGGAGTGGGGGAGTGAGTAATAGTATTATTAGTATAGCAGCCAGCATTATGCATTCAGCATTTCAGCAGCTAGCCAGGATAGAAAGCAAGGTGTCCAGCTCCATCCATCTCCATGCAAAAAAATTTCAGGACTAGACTACACTACACCAGATGCTGTTTTTCAGGACCAGATAAATATGTAGTACAAAAGTTCATGTCCAGATCCTATCTATCTGCTTGCACTTATTAATAAAGTATACAAAAAGCCTCATACTAATAATAATAAAGCCTCATGCTAAAAATAGAATTATAGAAGACCATTGTAACAAGACGTGCTTAACCCATATACATACATAATAGGGCATATTGCCAAAAGTCTGCAATATTATATTTGCCAAAGAAACTGGACGAGGTCCAAGAGCTCACCAATGGTTTGGCGCCCAGCTGACAAGTGACCGCCTGCAACTCTACCAGATCTGACTCTACTGGATCTCAAACATACAAGAAAACAGGCTGTGTTAAACATGGTAGAGCAAGAACACCATGGTGACCAGAGAAACAAAAAAGGCGAAGATGCTCACCTAGAAGAGGCCGCCGACGAGCACAGCGAGCCCACGTGATTCCACCAAACCGGAGCCCCGCGGAGAACGTCGAGCACCGAGACAAGATCTGCAGGATTTGAGAAAAAAAGAAGACCCCACCGAGACAAGATCTGCAGGATTTGAGAAAAAAAAAAACCCTAGAGAAGAGAAGAGATGTATGAAGAAAGAGAATACGTGAGGGAAGGTGGTGCTCACCGGAGTAGTCTGGATGGCTGTTGGTGGCGGCCACTTCACCGTAGAGGTCAGCGAAGAGGACGGGGGTGCCGGACTAGGTGCTGCTGGTGGCGGTAGCGGTGGCGGTGGTAGGCGACAGCCGCGCGGGATGGGGGTGGCGGCGTGTCATTTGATGACAGGCATCCGACGTCACAACTTCCTCCAAACCTTTTTAATTTTTTACCACAGCCTACACATGCGATAACATGACACCTCAACGAGTTTTGTCATTTTCAAACTTCATATGAATTTTATATAATTTAAAAACACTTTTCTGACAAATTCCTCGTCATGTTACGGGAAATGAAGAGTGGTGCAGTATCATGCTATATGTGTTGAACAACCTTACCGAGGTGCAGCCGTTCATCAAGTAAGTTCTCAATGAACTTGTTTCAATACGCCGTCACTATTCTGCATCCAACCCCATTGATTCTCGTTCGGATAGGGAATTTGTTCGTGAATCCTGGCATCAATCAAGGGATCCTACCTCGCATGAACAAGACACCCTTCTTTTGCGGGGTGCGGGAGCGGGGAGGCCTGATTTCATTTCTTGGTTCAAACAAAAGGTAATGTCCAATTTAGCTCGTACGTTCGATCGTCCAAGTTGATCGTACGTTTAATTAATATAACGATCTATCATGCTTGACCTTGCAGGCCCGGACCGATTCGTCCATGAGTGACGAGTTGAAACAGGTTGCAAACGGCTATGACATTAGGGTGAAGTCATTTACCGGCTATGACGTGAATGGATATCGCTTCCACACAACAAGTTACGAGCAGATTCGGCCCAAACGAAAAACCACAAATAGCGGAGTTTGTACGCCCGACACTGATGGCCTCGACTATCGTGGTAGAGTTGAGAAAATCTATGAACTCTCATTTCATGGTTCCAAACCTCTTAAACCTGTCATGTTCAAATGCCACTGGTTTAATCCTCGAGAAACGAGACGAACCCCTCATCTTGGGCTAGTCGAGATTCGAGAAGATTCCATCTATCCTAGAAAAGATGTCTACATTGTGGCTCAACAAGCCATGCGGGTGTATTATACTCGATATGCCAACCAAGACAAAGAAGATCTTAAGGGTTGGGCTATTGTGCACCAGGTATCTCCACACGGTAAACTACCTACCCCAAACGATGATGATTACAACTTCAACGCAGACACATATGATGGACAGTTCTATCAAGAAGATGGGTTACCAAGCACGTTTGAGATAGTCTTACCCGAAGCAATCGAAATGGAAGTAGACAACGAAACGGTTGATGGCGAGGTCGATGGAGATGTGGTGGTAAATGCCAAGGACATAGCAATGCTTGAACGATTACTTCTAGGCAATGACGACGATGACAACATAGAACCTTCGGATAGTGTTGCTCATTTGGACAATTTTGACAGTGATGATAAGACCTATGATCCCAATCATGAAGATTATTCATAATACATGTAATACTATGTTTTTTTAATTTGTGTTTTGTTTATATATTTTGAATCTGTTTCTAATATATGTACTAATAAGTCTTGTTCATTCTTTGTGATTGCAGGTGATTGAACAAAGATGGCGAGCAGCCATCCACGCCGTGACACGCCCTCGGTTTACTGGAGAGCACGCCCTCTCCTTCCAGGTGAGGGGTCGTTGTCCGGGGCAGCGTCCGTAGGAGGTGACAAGAGGAGGACCAGGGGCGCCCACCGCAGAAGGCAGCGGTCTCCTCCCTCGCCACATGATGTGGTGCTGGAGGAGGAGCACGTGACGGCCATGGCCATGTCCTCTTCGAAGGACGAGGGGGGTTGGCAAACGGGTGAGGGAGGTGAGGCACCCGAGGGTGAGGGAGGGGGTACCGCTACCCGGACTCCCTACCAGCGAGGTCCCACGAGAATCCCTCCGGTTTCGCTTTCTCACAACCGCCCAGTGATTCGGCCTATGGCGAAGATGTAAGTAACTATAGATGTTATCACAACTACTTCATAAGATATATTGGAAATCATAAGAGAAACTGATAAATTTTCTTAATCACTTGTGCAGGGCCTGGTTGGTTTTGTTGGGTAATGCAGCACGCTCCCCCGCGAGCATCCTTGGTGTTTTGTGCAAGTAATGGTACCCTGACCTTGTGCAACTATCCCCGGAGGTGCAGGAGCCGGACTCCAAGTGGGACAGGTA